GCTCAACACGGTATCCTTGTTTCCCTATAATCTTCCAGCTACATGTCTGGTTGACGGGATAGTTTCTTGGATTAAATGGAGAGGACAAAGAACCTGATGTTTCATTGAGGATCATATCTGCTGGGCACACTGAAAAGATTAACAAAGACTGTGTCAGACTTCGAAAACGTAACGAACATGAAATATAAACAGCTTGTGTTGGAGTGAAAGGCTTTACTACATTCAATTTTTTTTCTACACACTATATCTGTTTAAAGATTGTTTATTTCATTATTTGAATGATATTCTGAACAAAATTCTCGCTTAGTTCTATAGGGGTACATGCTCAATACACTTCTATACTTTCAGTTAATAAACTACCATAGAAGAAAAGCTCTTACGTGAATCTCCATCTATCGCCTCAAAGGTTGCATTGAACCCTTTATTTACAAGGCCGGTGCGAGATTCAAATCTCACTTGAATGAAATTTCCCTCGGAGTACACAGGAGGGGGAAGCTTTTGACCACAGATCTTAAAGTCATTAGGATTTCCTCCATAAGAGGCAAGGTTTGTGAGGAAGACTCGGGCACTATCTGCTGCCGCTCCAGCACAATCATCGTTTTCACCTACTACCAGGGTAAAGTTGAAGAAGGTCAGTTTGATGATTTTCCCAGCGGGTACTGTGATATTCCAGGTACAAATCCTGTTTGCGTCATAGTTGTTGGGAAAATTGGGGCTGGAAATGTGACCATTAGGAGCATTAATGGATTCTCCAGGAGGGATGCAGGCTGAAAAGGAGAGCATCTTTAAGTCACTGTTTTGATTTCTTACTACAGCCGAAAGAGAATTGAAAATGTGTTTTATACCAACACTATTGTCACCATATATTAGTAGTAAAGAGAAATACTGTGGACTGAAATACAAAACCGCAAAACCACCGTTTAAAATGCAGAAATTTAAAAAGGTTATCAGTACTCACGACCACTTGTCACAAGAACCAGGGAGGTAGCTGCAACAGATACAAAGA